CAATGATACACATGGCATACTGTCCTGTTTCGTTTTATTAATATATCATAAGACTACCACAAGACTATAAACAGTATATAGATAAACTTATCATCTTGGAATCCAAAGCATCTAGGTTTTAGATATTTATTACTTTTATTGTCTATGCCCTGATTGTGATTATTTTATAAACACAATAGATAGTTCAAGTAGGTCATGTATTTAGAAAGATGTTTTAGCTTGAGGCATCTTGGATTAGAAACCAAAGATGTTATCTGCAGCTTCCACGGCCTTCCTTTTGGCGTCTGGGTTCATCTTGTCAATGACCTCCTTGCGCGGCTTAAACTTACGGAAGGTGAACTCTGCAAATAGAACAAAAGGAGCGTGCAGTCTTTCAGTGGTTTACATTAGACACCTCACCTCCAATGATGCCATTGGAATCCTCCTGATGGAACACAATACGGTTGCTATCAGACCAAGCAAAGAGTTTGATGCGGTACACCTGTACTCAAAAACGTGAGCGGTGACTGAAATACAAAGGGCAGCCTGGGCACAAACCTTGAAGTACGGGTTTTGCATATCAGGGTACCTTAAGACCCCGATGTCAATTATGGTCTTCTCGTGGTGCTCATGCTTGGCAAAGAAATTTTCAAAGCTGGTAATGGTCGCCCCTGACTGAGCAACAATTTCCCCAAGAACTTTAATGTCGATCTTGGTTGATTTCAGGACGTCCTCATCTGCGACGAGATTCACAAACCAGACCTGAACCTGTGACGAGAAAAGGCCGCAAAGGTTAATAGAGCTCTTCCATAATACATGATTCTATTACCGCTTTCACAATAGCTGGGTCCGGTGACCCGTCAATCCTGAAATTGCTAGAGCTTTTGTTGAGAAACTTGTCAGCTCTGCTAATCCCATCGCCCATTGGCTCAACCAGGGGATTTTGCATGAACATGGAGTTGACCTTCTCCCAAGTTCGCTCTTTCGGTGCCACTTTGGCTATAAGGTCTGTGGTTCCCGAGATGCAAACTTTGAGAACCTCATCCATCTTCTTCACTGTTTCTGCATTCAATCCCCCAAACGATGGTGCCAGGTTGGTGTGGAGGTAATCCTCAGCAGTCTTGGAACGCACATCAATCTGGAGCATTCCACAAGGAGTTAAGCACTGCTTTGGGCAAGACAGGTTCAACTTTACCTTGCTGAAATCAAAATTCGCCACAATGTCACCAATCTCCTTCAATGAACCGAAGGCTCCCTGCATTGTTGCCATGGTTGCCATTGCAATTCACCTTCAGAAGAAGTATGTGCACCAGAAGAGGTATGTACACTCACTTTTTATAATGGGGTAAATGAGTTAGTTTAGTGCACAAAACATGTTTATCCCAAAATGAAGTATCATCGCAGCACGTGCTGCATGACTTTGTCATACATATACCTCCAAAAATTGCAGGTATACCCGGTTAAAAAACAAAAGGTGATTTGGATGAGCGTTCTGAAAGATTAGTTTAGCGCAGAAAACTAGTTCGGTGCAGGAAACGCATCTACACCAAACACGTTCGGTCCAAAACGCCAAGCCTCCTTCGGTGCAGTAGTCTAGCTTGACCCAACGCCACTTAACTTGTTGGGATTCTTCCTCTCCTCGCCAAATGCGTAGACGGCTTTGCCCCAGCCGGTCGCTGGAACCGCATCGCATCGCAAAGGAACCAGCGCTTGTGGAAAACCACAGGTCCACTAAGTCAAGTTTCACAGCATCGTCTCGGAGAGTGGTGAAATGAAAAGGGCCGTGAACGTCAACAGGGTGAAATCACACACTCGTTTCATGCGCTGGTCTGGGGCCTTTTGCAAGAGTAGCAAAAGCTTGATTGGGCTTGTCCGAGATTGGGAGCCCGGCTTGTATCCATCCAAGGCAGGCGTGAGATGCTTCGGGTGCCCAAGACTAGGACGCTGGTGTAGTAGTGCTTGGTTCTGAGGGTGACTAACAAATCAACGTAGCCGTACATGTGTATAGATTAATTGCTGAGTTCAAGTATGAAAATGAATGAAAAGCTAACATTCTCAGTGACAGAAGACTATGTTGACTAAATATTGACTTTTAGCGAAGTTCTACGGTCAAACTATTTGCTCAATTAGACTCACGCTTCTGAATTGTACAGTTCAAGAAGAAATCCTACCTTTGTTTGACAACGAAGAAACGATCAGCTTTGCAAGATGGCACGGCCCAAGTTGGATGCCAGTGCCAATCTCAGGCAATCCACAGCGCCAGGCTCTGCGGTGCTTAGGATGTCGTTCTCTAGCCGGTTTAGACATCAAGAAGAAGGAAATCAATGCCAGGTTAAGCTGTGCGAAGACAGTACTTGAGAATAAACCAAACGATGGAGTTCTGTCAAGGTCTTCTTCAAGAAGAGATCGAACGTCCTCCCCTTTTGCTATCAGGAGATCATTAACATGCGCCATCATCCTGATAGAAAATTTATATAAATATTCGACATGAGAAGTTCTTACCAGGCATTGAAAACCTTCGTACACTTTGCAAAGAGTATCTGTATAGTACTGGGAAGAGCATTTACCTCGGTGTCGTTGCTGATAATTGCAGATAAAAGTTCTTGAAGGTCTTCATCCCCAGAACTTTTCAATCCTTTGCACTTGGAAGCTATGCTACGCATTAAGACCTGCACCCGATAATTGCAAGTGAACTTAGCACACTACACAGTTCATACATACCAAAGAAAAAGGTATCAGATGTAGGAAATGCGCCACCAGCAGCTCCATCCAGTGAATTGTAGAGAGCTGTAGAATATCAACGTTTCCCAATAGCACCTGTATTAGCTTCTTAAGACCAAGAAGCGTCCCACGGTGGTTGCATTCCGCCCAAAACACACTATTTTCAAGCTTGGAAACCTGACTTCGCCATTTTTCCCTCGCCTGCATGTAATAAAATCTGAGAAACTAAAAACTTTGCTGCAACCACATCAAACCTTAGAAAAGTCAGGCTTAAAACCTACGGCAACACCAGGACTTCCATACCAGGGAGGTATTTGGCAGGCGAGGAGGGAGCGAGCACCGAGTACGAAGGGACCACCTTGCTGCGAGAGAAAGAAAATCAAAGTAGCCGTTGATTATGTAATGTTTACTGGTCGTAAGTATGAGCAAGGATAATTCAACCATGTCAGAACGCAGGACGTATTCATTTAGAAACTCATGCTTGAGCTAGACAAACCTCTGTTCTCAGCTGGACAAGAAACTAAGAAAAGACCAAAGTGACGTTGCTGTTTTGGAAAGATTCGCGCATTTAGCTTATTAATTTAAAAAAATTACAACTGTATTAACGTCTTGATCGTCTTGTCCTGGAGTAGATTTCTAGGATCCTAAAAACTCGACCCTATAACAGGAGATGTCACGCCTACTGATCAGTACGTAAGCATTTGCAAAAGAAAACTTACAATGTGCTGGTGACAAAGTTCGTGAGTTAGAGGGGGAGGAAAAGCTCGACGGTTTGGTGGGCCTCCCTTTGCCTTGTTCCAAGTAGCATTCTCTAAAGTTCTATTTTCGAAGTTCTGTTCCTTGTCAAAATCCATTTCTACAATATTATTGCGACAGTGTTCCTGGGGTCGTTTGCATCAAAGCGACAGGATGGGAAAATCCAGCAAGATGGAGAGCCAAATGGCACTCACGACTAAGCCATCAACTCGGCTTAGGGCTGATTGAGGCTGGCTAACTTGTGGTAACCTTGAGCACGAAGAATCTACAAAGACCAACGAGACAATGATAATGATCTTCACATGGCAAACTGTCCTGTTTCGTTTTATTAATATATCACAAAGAATACTTATGCTTCTTGATGGGCACCACAAGACTATAAACAGTATATAGACAGAGATAAATTTATCATCACGTTTCAATGTTCCACTGGAAGGCAAAAGTACTTGGAATCCAAAGCATCTAGGTTTTAGATATTTATTACTTTTATTGTAGTTTGTATATCAAGTCTTTGTTTCCCTGATTGTCTCTTTTCAGAAATTAAGATTAAAAAATATAAAGACAATAGATAGCTGTTATTTTCAAGTAGGTCATGTATTTAGAAAGATGTTTTAGCTTGAGGTATCTTTGGCTCAATTTAGATATTAGAAACCAAAGATGTTATCTGCAGCTTCCACAGCCTTCTTTTTGGCGTCTGGGTTCATCTCGTCAATGGTCTACTTGCGCGGCTTAAACTTACGGAAGGTGAACTCTGCAAATAGAACAAAAGGAGCGTGCAGTCTTCAGTGGTTTACATTAGACACCTCATGCGAAAGCGAAAGCTTGTTTGCACTTGTCTGAGATTGGGAGCCTGACTTCCAAGGCAGGATAAAGAGGTGTTGCATGCATCTGTTTTATTGATGCCACCACCCAAGCATACCAATAGCAACGTCCTGATGAAAGCCATTGAGAATGTTAGAAACCCCTTGCCAAAGTTTAGCAGTGGCGCTGGTAGCAGTGGTAGTGGTGGTGACAACCGGCATAAGCAGCAGCGATCGTGGTGGAGCAACTACATTTGTTGCACGCTAAGAATTAGCTAGTGATTTTTGGACAGAGAGAATTTATGCCAAGCTATCAAGAACAAGAGTAGGATTGTTTTGTGTCACTGCTCAGGAACCACATGATGGAGCCTGGGAGTATGATTCTATTTTTTACACTTTAACCTAACTGGTTAAAGGGGTGATTATTTGATTGTAAAGTCCCTTTTTTATCCTATTATTTTGATCTGGTGTGTAACAATGTTTTTTTATCCTATTATCCTAACTTGGTGCTTAACAATTTTCCCCTCGCCAAGAAATAATTGCAATCATCTTTAAGTCACCTTCCTGTCACCATAGTCTTTTTCTTAGAGTTTATTATCTTCCTTTAGATCCACCATGTTAAATATTCTTTCAGAATATTTCTGCCCACGAAAATTAAACAATTATATTCATTGAAAACCAATGAAAAGCTAACACTTCCAATAACTGAAGACTGTGTTGACTAAAAATTGACTTTTAGCGAAGTTTTACGGTCAAACTATTTGCTTAATTAGACTCACGCTTCTGAATTGTACAGTTCAAGAAGAAATCCTTCCTACCTTCGTAGAAACGATCAGCTTTGCAAGATGGCACGGCCCAAGTTGGATGCCAGTGCCAATCTCAGGCGATCCACAGCGCCAGGCTCTGCGGTGCCTAGGATGTCGTTCTCTAGGCGGTCCCTGGCGAGGAAGAGTTCCTGGAGGCAGCAGAGTAGAGTGTTTGTTTCGGACTCGCTAACCAGCACTTGCTCCGGCCATTCCAGCAGCTCCATCTGATCGATCCGAAGTTTAGAGTGTAAACGAGACGTGAGAACAGCTCCATACCGATTCTTGGAGCAAGGACAGCCAGAATTTACGTGGAAAGGTTCCAGATTTTAGAAGCTGCAAGCCGGGGTTTTACGAAAACCTCGCTGCACTTGGCAGAGCAGCGGTGACTTCTCTTCTCCAGGTTACCAATCCGTTCGGGTGTAGGAAGCCTCCCTACAACGCAGATCTCTGATGTTTTGCAGCGCTGCCTTAAAGCTTTTGTACCTGCGTGAAGTTGGAAGTGAGCTCCGGATAGTTTTGCAACTGTATGAAGTGAGTACCTTGCTAGGAACGACAGGCCTTGATGCTTCGTTGCTCCCGAGCCAAGGATGTCACAGAGACCCTCAAAATGCTGGCACGGGAAAAGAGCGTTAAAAGTGTGCGTGTATCAAATAAAACGTAAGACTGCTACCTCGAGATTATCCAGACTATCAGCTTCACCAGACGTTATTGTGTTCAAAAGCTATCCGCAAGAGTAGAAAGCCTCTGCTCGTCTCGGGCCAATTGAAGCCACATTATCCCTTGGCCCTTCTTTCCATGCTTTAAACTATGAACACCAACAGCCTGGAAGACATAAAACACAGGTGAGAACCCCAAGCCTGGAAAGGAAGAGGATACTAAACCCTGGCGATGGCTGTGCTCACGGTATCAGGTTCATAGAGGCGGCATATCTCTAGTGCCTGTTGCACAAAATTCACATTAAGATTCAAGAAAACGTCACACCAAGACCAACCTTCAATGCCAGTTTCTGATTGGAACAACTCTGCTTCATTAGGAGAGCTTCAAGCATTCCCAGGCCTTGCTTTGGGCAAGCCGCGAGGTAAACAGGTGCTAGCTGAGATAATTGTTAGACAAACATCAAGAACAAAGAAATCAACGATATACCTGCCAGGTTAAGCTGTGCGAAGACAGTACTTGAGAATAAACCAAACGATGGAGTTCTTTCAAGCTCAAGCCGCCTAGAGTTTGCCTGTCTTCTTCAAGAAGAGATCGAACGTCCTCCCCTTTTGCTATCAGGAGATCATCAACATGCGCCATCATCCTGATAGAAAATTTATATAAATATTCGACATGAGAAGTTCTTACCAGGCATTGAAAACCTTCGTACACTTCGCAAAGAGTATCTGTATAGTACTGGGAAGAGCATTTACCTCGGTGTCGTTGCTGATAATTGCAGATAAAAGTTCTTGAAGGTCTTCGTCCCCAGAACTTTTCAATCCTTTGCACTTGGAAGCTATGCTACGCATTCCATCTAAGACCTGCACCCGATAATTGCAAGTGAACTTAGCACACTACACAGTTCATACATACCAAAGAAAAAGGTATCAGATGTAGGAAATGCGCCACCAGCAGCTCCATCCAGTGAAACGTAGAGAGCTGTAGAACATCAACGTTTCCCAATAGCACCTGTATTAGCTTCTTAAGACCAAGAAGCGTCCCACGGTGGTTGCATTCCGCCCAAAACACACTATTTTCAAGCTTGGAAACCTGACTTCGCCATTTTTCCCTCGCCTGCATGTAATAAAATCTGAGAAACTAAAAACTTTGCTGCAACCACATCAAACCTTAGAAAAGTCAGGCTTAAAACCTACGGCAACACCAGGACTTCCATACCAGGGAGGTATTTGGCAGGCGAGGAGGGAGCGAGCACCGAGTACGAAGGGACCACCTTGCTGCGAGAGGAAGAAAATCAAAGTAGCCGTTGATTATGTAATGTTTACTGGTCGTAAATATGAGCAAGGATAATTCAACCATGTCAGAACGCAGGACGTATTCATTTAGAAACTCATGCTTGAGCTAGACAAACCTCTGTTCTCAGCTGGACAAGAAACTAAGAAAAGACCAAAGTGACGTTGCTGTTTTGGAAAGATTCGCGCATTTAGCTTATTAATTTAAAAAAATTACAACTGTATTAACGTCTTGATCGTCTTGTCCTGGAGTAGATTTCTAGGATCCTAAAAACTCGACCCTATAGCAGGAGATGTCACGCCTACTGATCAGTACGTAAGCATTTGCAAAAGAAAACTTACAATGTGCTTGTGACAAAGTTCGTGAGTTAGAGGGGGAGGAAAAGCTCGACGGTTTTGTGGGCCTCCCTTTGCCTTGTTCCAAGTAGCATTCTCTAAAGTTCTATTTTCGAAGTTCTGTTCCTTGTCAAAATCCATTTCTACAATATTATTGCGACAGTGTTCCTGGAGTCGTTTGCATCAAAGCGACAGGATGGGAAAATCCAGCAAGATGGAGAGCCAAATGGCACTCACGACTAAGCCATCAACTCGGCTTAGGGCTGATTGAGGGTGTCCCTGGCTAACTTGTGGTAACCTTGAGCACGAAGAATCTACAAAGACCAACGAGACAATGATAATGATCTTCACATGGCAAACTGTCCTGTTTCGTTTTAGTAATATATCACAAAGAATATTTATGCTTCTTGATGGGCACCACAAGACTATAAACAGTATATAGACAGAGATAAATTTATCATCACGTTTCAAAGGCAAAAGTTTGCAACATTGACAAAAGTACTTGGAATCCAAAGCATCTAGGTTTTAGATATTTATTACTTTTATTGTAGTTTGTATATCAAGTCTTTGTTTCCCTGATTGTCTCTTTTCAGAAATTGAGATTAAAAAATATAAAGACAATAGATAGCTGTTATTTTCAAGTAGGTCATGTATTTAGAAAGATGTTTTAGCTTGAGGCATCTTTGGCTCAATTTAGATATTAGAAACCAAAGATGTCTTCCACAGCCTTCTTTTTGGCGTCTGGGTTCATCTTGTCAATGAGCTCCTTGCGCGGCTTAAACTTACGGAAGGTGAACTCTGCAAATAGAACAAAAGGAGCGTGCAGTCTTCAGTGGTTTACATTAGACACCTCACCTCCAATGATGCCATTGGAATCCTCCTGATGGAACACAATACGGTTGCTATCAGACCAAACAAAGAGTTTGATGCGGTACACCTGTACTCATAAGCATGAGCTGTGACTGAAATACAAAAGGCAGCCTGGGCACAAACCTTGAAGTACGGGTTTTGCATATCAGGGTACCTTAAGACCCCGATGTCAATTATGGTCTTCTCGTGGTGCTCATGCTTGGCAAAGAAATTTTCAAAGCTGGTAATGGTCACCCCTGACTAAGCAACAATTTCCCCAACAACTTTAATGTCGATCTTGGTTGATTTCAGGACGTCCTCATCTGCGATGAGATTCACAAACCAGACCTGAACCTGTGACGAGAGAAGGCCGCAAAGGTTAATAGAGCTCTTCCATAATACATGACTCTTTTACCGCTTTCACAGTAGCTGGGTCCGGTGACCTGTCAATCTTGAAGTCGCTAGAGCTTTTGTTGAGAAACTGGTCAGCTCTGCTAACTCCATCGCCCATTGGCTCAACCAGGGGATTTTGCATGAACGTGGAGTTGACCTTCTCCCAAGTTCGCTCTTTCGGTGGCACTTTGGCTAGAAGGTCTGTGGTTCCCGAGATGCAAACTTTGAGAACCTCATCCATCTTCTTCACTGTTTCTGCATTCAATGTCCCAAACGATGGTGCCAGGTTGGTGTGGAGGTAATCCTCAGAACTCTTGGAACGCACATCAATCTGGAGCATTCCACAAGGAGTTAAGCACTGCTTTGGGCAAGACAGGTTCCACTTTACCTTGCTGAAATCAAAATTCGCCTCAATGTCACCAAGGCTCCCTGCATTGTCGCCATGGTTGCCATTGCAATTCACCTTCAGAAGAGGTATGTACACCAGAAGAAGACTAATGGGGTAAATGGGTTAGTTTAGTGCACAAAACATGTTTATCCCAAAATGAAGTATAGCTTGACTCATCGTGCATGACTTTGTCATACATATACCTCCAAAACTGCAGGTTAAAAAACAAAAGGTGATTAGGTGGATTGAGCGTTCTGAAAGATTAGTTTAGTGCAGAAAACGAGTTAAACGCATTTACACCGAACAGAAAACGCCATGCAGTAGTCCCAATATCAAGAAAATCAGGTATCATATTCTTTACGCATATGCTTTTAGGGCATGATAAACTGCCGTACATTGCTCTGGGTAGAGTGCTTGTGGAAAACCACAGGTCCACTAAGTCAACTTTCACAACTTTAAAAACCCTTTGGAGAATTGATGGTGAAGGAAATGGGCCGTGAACGTCAACAGGGTGAAATCACACTGTTAGGGGAGAGTAGCAAAATCTTGTTTGCACTTGTCTGAGATTGCCAAGGCAGGATAGGGAGGTGTTGCATGCATCTGTTTTATTGATGCCACCACCCAAGCATACCAATAGCAACGTCCTGATGAAAGCCATCGAGAATGTTAGAAACCCCTCGCCAAAGTTTAGCAGTGGCGCTGGTAGCAGTGGTAGTGGTGGTGACTAAGCAGCAGCAATCGTGGTGGAGCAACTACATTTGTTGCACGCTGAGAATCAGCTAGTGATTTTTGGACAGAGAGAATTTATGCCAAGCTATCAAGAACAAGAGTAAGATTGTTTTGTGTCACTGCTCAGGAACCACATGATGGAGCCTGGGAGTATGATTCTATTTTTTACACCTTAACCTAACTGGTTAAAGGGGTGATTATTTGATTGTAAAGTCCTTTTTTTATCCTATTATCCTAACTTGGTGCTTAACAATTTTCCCCTCGCCAAGAAATAATTGCAATCATCTTTAAGTCACCTTCCTGTCACCATAGTCTTTTTCTTAGGGTTTATTATCTTCCTTTAGATCCACCATGTTAAATATTCTTTCAAAATATTTCTGCCCACGAAAATTAAACAATAATATTACAATCCTACCCTAAACCCAACTGATTAAAGGGGTGTGTAATGGCAGCCAATGAAACACTTCCAATAACTGAAGACTGTGTTGACTAAAAATTGACTTTTAGCGAAGTTTTACGGTCAAACTATTTGCTTAATTAGACTCACGCTTCTGAATTGTACAGTTCAAGAAGAAATCCTTCCTACCTTCGTAGAAACGATCAGCTTTGCAAGATGGCACGGCCCAAGTTGGATGCCAGCGCCAATCTCAGGCGATCCACAGCGCCAGGCTCTGCGGTGCCTAGGATGTCGTTCTCTAGGCGGTCCCTGGCGAGGAAGAGTTCCTGGAGGCAGCAGAGTAGAGTGTTTGTTTCGGACTCGCTAACCAGCACTTGCTCCGGCCATTCCAGCAGCTCCATCTGATCGATCCGAAGTTTAGAGTGTAAACGAGATGTGAGAACAGCTCCATACCGATTCTTGGAGCAAGAAGAGGATACTAAACCCTGGCGATGGCTGTGCTCACGGTATCAGGTTCATAGAGGCGGCATATCTCTAGTGCCTGTTGCACAAAATTCACATTAAGATTCAAGAAAACGTCACACCAAGACCAACCTTCAATGCCAGTTTCTGATTGGAACAACTCTGCTTCATTAGGAGAGCTTCAAGCATTCCCAGGCCTTGCTTTGGGCAAGCCGCGAGGTAAACAGGTGCTAGCTGAGATAATTGTTAGACAAACATCAAGAACAAAGAAATCAACGATATACCTGCCAGGTTAAGCTGTGCGAAGACAGTACTTGAGAATAAACCAAACGATGGAGTTCTTTCAAGCTCAAGCCGCCTAGAGTTTGCCTGTCTTCTTCAAGAAGAGATCGAACGTCCTCCCCTTTTGCTATCAGGAGATCATCAACATGCGCCATCATCCTGATAGAAAATTTATATCAATATTCGACATGAGAAGTTCTTACCAGGCATTGAAAACCTTCGTACACTTCGCAAAGAGTATCTGTATAGTACTGGGAAGAGCATTTACCTCGGTGTCGTTGCTGATAATTGCAGATAAAAGTTCTTGAAGGTCTTCGTCCCCAGAACTTTTCAATCCTTTGCACTTGGAAGCTATGCTACGCATTCCATCTAAGACCTGCACCCGATAATTGCAAGTGAACTTAGCACACTACACAGTTCATACATACCAAAGAAAAAGGTATCAGATGTAGGAAATGCGCCACCAGCAGCTCCATCCAGTGAAACGTAGAGAGCTGTAGAACATCAACGTTTCCCAATAGCACCTGTATTAGCTTCTTAAGACCAAGAAGCGTCCCACGGTGGTGCATCCGCCCAAAACACACTATTTT